ACCACATCCGCGTGGGCATCCCTGAGCTCATTGTGCAAGTCCGCCACCACCGCCACACGCGTGCCTATGCCTTCTTCGTCACCGCCACTTATGAGAGGCGAGTCCCTGGCCCTGGCCTCTCACTGACCCTGCCACCCAGCTCCCCACCCTTCAAAGTGCCAACAACGAGGTCCAGCCTCTTGTTTGTCTCAGGTGGCCGCCAGGTGCACCATCCCTAGTTTCAGGATGGTGAGCCAGGGTCTCCCCATGATCCCATCTCCCCTGCCCTCCCGCAGCCTACTCCGAGGGGCTGATGAGCTGGGTCTGCGCAAAGCAGTGAAGGCCGAGTTTGGCGGGGGTACCCGTGGCTTCTCCTGCGAGGAGGACTTCATCTATGAGAATGTGGAGAGTGAGCTGCGCTTCTTCACCTCCCAGGTGCGCCAGCTCGGCACCCAGCGCATATCCCTAACCCCCAGACGGCTACTTGCTGTGCTCACGCCCTGTCCCCTGTAGGAGCGCCAGAGTATCATCCGCTTCTGGCTTCAGAACCTGCGTGCCAAGCAGGGTGAGGCGCTGCACAATGTGCGCTTTCTGGAGGACCAGCCAATCAGTGAGTGAGGCGGGGCCAACCCTCCAATCATTCGTGGGGAGTTGGGTGGGGCTCTCAAAAGACAATATATCAGGGCAGGAGGCGGGGCCTGGAGCTAGTCAATTAATGCGCTGAAGGGGCGAGGCCATAGCAAAGGGTGGAGCTTATGCCCCAGGAGGCAGGTCCAAGAGAACCTTTTCTGAGACTGGGGTGAAGAAGGGGCAGAACCATAGACAGCAGTCCATGTATATTGTGCTGTGTGGCCCTGGGCCTCAGTTTCTCCACTAGAAGGGCAAGTTCACCTTCTGAAGTCAACTTTGCACCATTCTTTAGTCATTCAGAGCAGTAAACTGAGGCTAATGGCTTTATTTGAAAATATGGTTCCCCACTGGGACCCCATCCTTCTAGGTTTCATACACCCTCCCCTACTTGTGCCTGTGCCTACACCTCCCAAATTTTGAAGGAGAACTAGATATTCCAACCACCCAGAACACCCCTGGGAAGAGCCTCTGCAGGTTTAAGAGCAGGCAAAAAGTTGTGACTTAGGTTTCAGCCAAGGGTGTCTGGCCAGGCCAGACATAGGCAGAGGGGCGGGGGTCACCCATTCTTGTCCCCCAACAGTCCCTGAGTTGGCGGCCCGTGGGATCATCCAGCAAGTGTTCCCGGTCCACGAGCAGCGCATCCTGAACCGCCTCATGAAGTCATGGGTGCAGGCTGTGTGTGAAAACCAGCCGCTAGGTGTGGCCCGGGCCAGGGGTGGGCAGGGATCCCAGGAGGCAGGCAGGGCTAACCAAGAATCCCTTTTTCACCTGACAGACGAGATCTGCGACTACTTTGGTGTGAAGATTGCCATGTACTTTGCTTGGCTGGGCTTCTACACATCAGCAATGGTGTACCCAGCTGTCTTCGGCTCTGTCCTGTATACATTCACAGAGGCAGATCAGGTGCCAGGCATGGGCTGGGCAGGGGCTGGGTCACCAGAGACACCCTCTTCCCTGATCTGGCTTGGCCAACAGCTGAGCCCTCCTCCGCCACCCCCAGACAAGCCGGGATGTGTCCTGTGTGGTCTTTGCCCTGTTCAACGTGGTCTGGTCGACGCTATTCTTGGAGGAGTGGAAACAGAGGGGTGCAGAGCTAGCCTACAAGTGGGGGACACTTGACTCACCTGGGGAAGCTGTGGAAGAGCCACGACCCCAGTTCAGGGTGAGTTAGGGGATGCTTATTCCAAGGACTCTGACAATGTGGGGTCAAGGCAGGGAGCACTGTAGGAACAAAGACAGGAAGTGTGAAATCAAGCTGCAGCATCAAAAAGGATGTGCCAAGTAGGGGGCCCTCATTCTCAGAGGAGAGGGGTGGGAGACTGGATTTGAGAGACTGTGAAGGGTGCACCAGGTGGGGGCACCACACAAGCAAAGGCATGGTGGAAAGAAATTGACTTCAGAGGATTGGGAAAGGTGTATGGAGTGGGGGCAGCTCCTTCTCCTGATGCTGGGCCTGGCCTTCATCCTCTGCCAGGGTGTGCGACGCATCAGCCCGGTGACACGGGCCGAGGAGTTCTATTATCCACCCTGGAAGCGGTTGTTCTTCCAGCTATTTGTGAGTGTCCCCTTGTGCCTCACCTGCCTGGCCTGCGTGTTCCTGCTCATGCTCGGCTGTTTCCAGCTGCAGGTGACCTCTTCCAGCCCCCAGCCCTGGCCCCAACCTGGTGACCACCTACCTAAGTCCAGCCTGAGCCAAGCCCAGCTGCCAGGGTGACCTGTGAACCCCTGTCCCCGCAGGAGCTGGTACTGAGTGTGAAGGGACTACCCCGTCTTGCCCGCTTCTTGCCCAAGGTTGTGCTGGCCTTGTTGGTCAGCGTAAGTGCAGAGGGCTATAAGAAGCTAGCTATCTGGCTCAACGACATGGGTACGCCTTTCATGGGGAGGTCCCTGCTGCCCGGGCCTTGGGGAGGAAGGTCACCTGTGCCCACAGGGAGCCCGAGTCTCCCCCTCACTTGTCCCCTTGGCCCCCAGAGAATTACCGGCTGGAGAGCGCCTACGAGAAACACCTCATCATCAAGGTTGTCCTGGTGAGTGGCAGCCAGCAGGTGGGGCACAATGGGGATTCCTGGGGACAAGAGCAGCATGGTGAATGCCCTCCTGCTCCCCTCAGTTCCAGTTCATCAATTCCTACCTGAGCCTCTTCTACATCGGCTTCTACCTCAAGGACATGGAACGCCTGAAAGAGGTGAGACCCTGGCCCGAGGCAGTGGCCCCCATGTGGCCAGCGGGGGACCGGGCATGGCCCAAGGGGTCCATGGGCTTTCCAGCCCCTCCCCCCTCCATCCTTTTCTCCTCTCTGTCCGTCCGTCCATCCATGTGTCCTCTCTCTGCCTGTCACCCCCCATCTGTCCGTCCGCCTGTCCATCGGTCCCTTCACAGCTCCTGCTCGTCCTGTCCCTGTCCCAGAGCCTCGAGCGGCAGCTTCGGGCAGTGCTGGTCCCGCTTATGGCCCTGCGGTTCCGCCTGCTCCTCCTCTCCCTTCGGGGCCTCCTGCGCCTGGCCCAGGCCAAAGTATGGGCAGGTGGCGAGCCCCAGGGGCAGGCAGTGTGACTCTTCTGGGGGCTTCATGCCAAGCTGAGGGTGCATGCTGTGGGGAGATGGGGCTCCATTGTTTGGGTACAGGTAGCAGGGGCCCCTCAAGGCCCCAGGCATTGGCTGAGCTTCTGAGTGATGCTACGAGCAGGATGGCCCCAAGCCCTCAGCAAGTTTGGCTGGGAGTGCTGTGGTTGGTAGCAGGTAAACAGTGGTAGAGGCTGCAGAGGCTGGGGACTGTGTGTCCAGGGACATCCAGAAGGGCAAGTTAAGAATTGGGTCAGAGCCACTATCTGGAAACGTGCTCTGGGAGGACAAGCGCCCCATCCCAGCAGCCTGTCCTGGTGCCCAGGACCTCGCCTGCCCCCCACGTGGCCTCTCTCCACCCCCTTCCTGCCCCTAGATGCTGGCCACTCTGCTGATCACCCGCCAGTTCTTCCAGAACGTGCGCGAGGTCCTGCAGCCACACCTGTACCGACGGCTGGGCCGTGGCGAGCTTGGCCTACGGGCTGCTTGGGAGCTGGCCCGGGCCCTGCTTGGCCTGCTCAGCCTCCGGCGCTCTGCACCCCACCACCTTGAACCCCAGGCTGAAGAGGGTGGTGGCAGCGATGGCGGAGGGGGCCGCAGGTGTCTCAGCGGGGGCTGCGGGGCACCTGAGGAGGAGGAGGAGGCCACAGTGGAGCGGCGGCCAGCAGGGGAAGGAGGGGAGGTGGGGGACGGGCCACAGGGAGGCAAAGAGGAGGAAGAGGACGAGGAGGAGGAGGATGAGGAGGAGGACGAAGATGAGGAGGAGGGTGAGGAGGGTGGTCTCCTGGACTGTGGGCTCCGCCTGAAGAAAGTCAGCTTTGCTGAGCGGGGGGCTGGGCGACATCGGCCTGGCCCAAGCCCAGAGGCCCTCCTGGAGGAGGGTAGCCCCACAATGGTGGAGAAGGGGCTGGAGCCGGGTGTGTTCACACTGGCCGAAGAGGACGATGAGGTGGAAGGAGCAACTGGCAGCCCTGAGCGGGAGCCCTCAACTGTCCTCCGCCGGGCCGGGGGTGAGGGCCGTGACCAGGGGCCCTACGGGGGCCCGGAACCAGAGCCTGGCTCAGGTGACTCAGCCCGGAGGCAGCGGCGACAGAACCGGTCCTCTTGGATCGACCCACCTGAGGAGGAGCACTCACCCCAGCTCACCCAGGCTGAGCTCGAAAGCTGTATGAAGAAGTACGAGGTGAGGCAGGTGTCTGAGGGCGGAGGCAGGAGGGCCCTCGGGAGTGGGCACATGGTCTGCTGGTGGGGGTGCGGGTAATGGGGAGGCCCTTGATGTAGTCAGGAAACTGCCAGAGGAAGAGGCTCTGGGTCCGTTTAGGATCATTTGAGGGAGTAGGCTTGACAGAGGAAGACAGTCTAAGGTGGGAGGTGTCTTGGTCTGAGAGAGGACCTGAGGTCACACCTAGGTGCCCACCCGCAGGACACGTTCCAGGACTACCAGGAGATGTTCGTGCAGTTCGGCTACGTTGTGCTCTTCTCATCCGCCTTCCCACTGGCTGCGCTGTGCGCCCTGGTCAACAACCTCATTGAGATCCGCAGTGACGCCCTCAAGCTGTGCACAGGGCTACAACGGCCCTTTGGACAGCGGGTTGAGAACATCGGCCAGTGGCAGGTGTGGGAGTTGCCAAGGGCTCCAAGCCGAGGTGCACGGGGAGGAGCATAAGGCCCAGGGAGGAGGGCTGACCCTGCCCTACTGTGTCCTCCTACAGAAAGTGATGGAAGCCATGGGTGTCCTGGCAATTGTAGTCAACTGCTATCTCATCGGCCAGTGTGGGCAGCTGCAGCGCCTCTTCCCCTGGCTCAGCCCCGAGGCGGCTATCGTGTCTGTGGTGGTGCTCGAGGTGGGGCTGTTGGCAGGGTTGGGGGGCCGGGCTGGGGGGCCGGGCTGTGGGTGGTGGTCTCTGAGCCTGTAGCCTCCTCCTTTGTTGCCTCAGCACTTTGCTCTGCTTCTCAAGTACCTTATCCACGTGGCCATTCCCGACATCCCGGGTTGGGTGGCTGAGGAGATGGCCAAGCTCGAGTACCAGCGCCGGGAGGCCTTCAAGGTACGCAGGATGGGATTGGGTTCAGTTTACCCCTCTGGTCAGTGGGCCATCTCCTCCTTGCCCAGCTGGCAGTCACACCTTGGCAGGAGGGCAGCTGTGCAAAGCCCGGTGTAATAATTAGTGCTCTTAATAGGCCTAGTCCCTTCTGGAATCCCAGAGCCATCTGGCACCAGGCTGGCACTCTGGACATTCAATCACCTCCAGCTCATCCAGCAGTACCCTATTTAAGGTCAGGGACATGGCTGATGCTTCCGAAACTCAATCTCTGGTGCATTCTTCAGAAATTTTCAGAGTGGCCAACATGCACTCAAATTTATGTCGCTGGCCAGTGTGGACTCTGGTCTGTGCCAGTCACAGCTCTGTCTCACCAGTCCTCCAGAAAGTGGGGAACCTCTGATATCCAATATTTGTTTACACTCTCCCAATTCCTAGATGGTGTCTGGCACATGGCTGGGAACAGAGCTGATGGCCAGTAAACATTCTCTTCTCAATTCTCAGAAAACACTGTCTTGGGTGTAGGGATGCAGTTGGTGCCCAATAAGTGTTTAGATCTCTCCGGCTTCCGCAGAGAGCCCACACATCCTCTCTTCCCAGTCCTCCTAATGGCCTGTCTCCCCACAGAGACACGAGCGCCAGGCTCAGCACCGCTACCAGCAGCAGCAGCGGCGGCGGCGGGAGGAAGAGGAGCGCCAGCGCCACGCAGAGCACCATGCCCGGCGGGAGCGTGATTCCAGTGGCCGGGAGGAGGCGCGGGCTGAGGGCTCTGGGCTGGACCCCACTGCCCCTGAGAAGGCCTCGGCCAAGGCCAAGGGCAGCGGGGCGGGTGGCCACGGGCCAGAGCGGCCCAAGCGCCCAGGGTCCCTGCTGGCACCCAATAACGTCATGAAGCTGAAGCAGATCATCCCGCTGCAGGGCAAGTTCCTGTCATCGGGGTCTGCATCTTCCCTGACAGGCACGGGGCCGGGCCCTGCCGCCCGGCTGCCCTCTGCCCAGTCGCCCACAGGCAGCGACACCCGCTTGCCAGCCTTCCTCAGCTTCAAGTTCCTCAAGTCACCCGAGACCCGGCGGGACCCCGAGCGCAGCCACTCGCCGCCCAAGGCCTTCCACGCCGGCAAGCTCTTCCCCTTCGGGGGCACCCGGGCTGAGGCTGGGGCCAATGGGGCGGGCGGGCAGGCCCGGCCGGACGGGATCCCCAGCAGTGGCAGTGGCAGTGGCCGGGCCCAGCGCAGTGGGCTGGCGGATGAGGCTGCGGCTGAGGAGCCAGATGCCCTCCGGCCGGAAGAGGAAGGCTCAGGTCACAAGCTTTAACTCGGGGGTGGGGATTCTGGGCCAGGCTTTGGGGGTATGGTGGGGTGGTCAGGCCTGGGGGGAGGGGCCGAAAGGGACAGATGAGGTCCAGTCTCTGGTACTAGTTGGGGACTTGGGTCCATGGTATCTGAAGCCTCTTAGTCAGAGCTGGCTCAGTCTCTTTAGGACCCTGAGTACCTGGAGCCTCATGCCAAAGCCCCCTGTCCCAGTGCTCTCTCAGGGCACCCCGCCCACCAAGCATCGGTGCCAGCAGAGATGAGGGAGGCCCCTTTAACCATCTGGCCCAGCCTCTCCTGCCCACACCCAGCTCATTCTGGGGGTACTGGACTCCCCAGGCCTCTATGCAACTCCTCACCCTGCTGCCCAGTGTTCAAGGAGGCCTTCCTGAGGTAGAGGCTAGGGCTGCCCAACTAGGGAGCTTGGGGTACTTGGGCACAGGCTGCACCCACAAATTTGTGCTAAGCAGAGGCGCAGGCCTCACCCTCAGCCTCTCCCACCACGCTGGTCCCGACCCCAGCCAGGGGTCCAGTAATGGTACCAGGGAGCCCAAGAGGTGGCAGCTGCAGGACCAGAGACTTAAGTCTGAAATCAGAGACTTCCTCAGACTAGCCTCTCCCTGGAGTAGGAGGGATGTAGTGCCTAGGCAGGGGACGCACCAAGACACTGATCAGAAGCAATAAGGCCTTGATGTGCCTGGAACTTGGGAGGGAGTGTAGGCTGGGTCCCGAGCGGGATCCGGCAGCCGAAGGTGGGGACGGCATCCCCCGGAACGGCCCATCTCACCTCCGCAGGGACAGCGCTGACCCTGGTGGGCGCTCCCACCCTTCGCACCCGCTGCATCCGGAGCCCTGCGCCATCAACGCCAACACCACCTCCCCGGCCCCCAACACCGCCTGCTGGCTGCTGGCAGTGGGATGGGCCATGGGGCTGCGGAGGTGAGGGTGCTGCCCCCCACCAGGCCCCTGCCACCAACACTGAGTGCCAGCCCTGTGCCCTAGCCGGGCCTCCACCTGCCCCCCAACCCCTGCCAGGGGATGCCAGCTTCTACAGCCTCGCACCTCCGCCACTGCCACCATCCTCTGAGCTCCCTGAGCCCCCAACAGCCTCACCCAGCTCCAGCCCCAGCCCTCAGGCTGTGTGCTGGCCCAGTGGCTGGCACTAGCTCCTCTGGGCGCCCTGCCTTCCTGTTCTCATGCAATAGCAGTCACGGACCGGCGGCTGCCACCCAGGAAATGCTTTGGCCCCCAAAATCCCAGTATTGGCCACCCCCTCCTGGGGCAAAAGCCTGGATCTCCCTATCTGCCGTTTTTTCCTTTCGATCAGGCCAGAGGAAACGAAAGGAAACACCCACTCCCCCCAAAAAAAACAACAGAAAACACAGAATAGGCGATTATTTATTTGTTTTTAATTTATTTTGTCATATTTTTGTAAAACGGCAGAAATGCAATAAAAAGTATATTTCAACAGTGCCCGAGGACAGAGCAGTGGAAACAGGGCTCAGAGGGCCCAGTGACTTGAGGCTGGCACCTGGTGGGCCTGGGGCAGGAGCTCACTCTGTCCTGTGGCCTTGGTGCCTCCTCCTAAGAACTGGGTCTTGAGGCCATGGATGGAAAACTCCAGACTATGCTGCCTCTGAGACGCCCCAGATTTGGGGGCCGACTCCAGGCCTGGGGCCCCTGGGAGGAGCTGCAGAGCCTCAGGCCATGTCTTCAGCCTCCTAGACAAAGGAAGAAATCTCAAAGTGCTGAAAGGACTCAGCAGTTTGGGTGCTGGGCCTGAGTCTGCTTCAGCCTCGCACGGTGGTAGTAGTGGGGGAGGGTTGACACAGTCCCTCTCAGCTGCACTTTCTGGCACACCTGCCTCCCAGGCCTCCATCTGAAGCATCAGGCAGTGGGAAGAAATTGGGGCATGAAAATCGGAAGGCACCTTGCACCCAAGTTGAAATGCTGAGGAAATGGTAGATTCTGGGGATCCCTGGACAGATGGGATGTTTTGGGCAAGTGGCTGGGATGCCACACTGTGGCCCAGCTGTTAAGACTAGAGTTGCTGGGACTTTTCCATGTGTGATCAGTGATGGATGTTATGTCTCTCCATGCCTCAAGCATGTCCATATCCAAAGTCTTGGAGCCTAAATGGGCCCTGTTCCAGGGCTGGGGGAGCATGTGTGAGGAAGGGGCACTGTAGGGGGATGGGAAAGTCAAAGGTTCACTGGAGGCAAGAGAGCAGCCTGTGCAAAGGCACAGAGGTGTGGGAAAGCAGAGTTAGGTGTTTGGAGGAACAGGAGTAAGGGGGCCCCAAAGGTAGGAGGTATGGGTGGAGGCCAGCTTCAGGACCTGCACCCAAGAGCACAGGGAGGTCTGAATGGGGCACAGCCGTGGGACCCCTGTCCACCCGCACCACAGACAGCATTGGCAGAATGAAAAGGCTGGGGAGGCAAGGGTGCAGGTGCCACCTGCTCCTGCTCTGCCCTGACTTTGAAGCTGAAGTCCTGCCAGCTTCTCAGTCACTAATAATCAGTGATGCCACAGACCTGCCCAGAGCTGGACCAGCCCCCAGGACTGGGGATTCCAAGCAGGTCTGAGAGCCTCCAGGGACTCGGTCACCCCAACACAACCAAGGGCAAGCTTGCACTTCCTGAGCACCTGTCTTGTGACCACAGTGCCCCAAAAACTGCCCATGCTATGGATACTGCCCACAACTGGGAGGCAAAGCCCTTGGCCCCATAACACAGCTGGATGGCCTAGTATGGAACCTGCCAACACAGGAGGATCTGGGCAGCCCAGGCCTAAGCAGTCAAACTCAGGAAGGGGCCCCCCCTCCCCGCCACAGGGACAATTTGGGGCAGGCACCCACTCCAGTTCTGTGGTCTACCCCTCTGCCACCCTCAGCTTTGACACTGCAGCCCCTGCTCAGGGCTAGTGTGGAGAGCAGTGTTCCCCACGGCCCCAGGTCCAGTGCTCAGGACCTTGAACCTTCTGCCTAGAGACTGAAAGCCCCCCATGTTCTGCCGCGCTCCACATGCCTCCTCTTGAAGCTGGGGGCGCGTGAAGCCAGCCACACAGTGGCTGGTGGGCATGCTGCCATGCTTGCCAATGTCCAGGGTATGGCATCTGCCACAGCTCCATCCTTGGTGGCGTGGACCATCTCTTGGGGGTGTCATAATCCTCAGGGATAGTTGACAGATGAGGCAAAAGGGTAGGTCCAGGCAGGTCTTAGCTCTGAGTAAGGTGGCTGCAGCAGGCCCACAAGAGAATCCAGCTGGTCCTGGGGCCCCAGTGCTTGGGGGCCCCTTTCAGCTCCTCTTGGTGACGATGGGAGAACTCTCAGTGGCTCCGTCCTCTGGAGCTGAGGCACGTGGAGCAAAGACTCGAGGTCAAATAGGAAAGATCCTTTTATTGGGGTGGACACGGAGCACGAACAAGTCCATGATAAAACGACTTAAGAGAAAGATCCGAGAGGGCCGACTTCTGGTGGTGCCAGCTCAGAGCAGAGTCTGAGCACAAAATAGGTTTCGGTGGAACTCGACTCAAGGCCAAGTCTTTAAGGCTGGACCAGAGGGTGGGAGTGGAGAGAAGGGCCCCACCTCTGCCGCCCAGCTGAAGCATGGCCCCTCTCTAGACCCTCTCAGACACGCTCTAGTTCTCTGGAGGACTGGGGGGCAGGAGGAGGGGAATCTGGGGCAAGGGGATGGATAACAACGTTTTTTAAGAAGCATCTACCAACATCACACTACTGGGTCTGACGTCCCCTTTAACCATCGCTCGGTACATTTTACAGCATAAATAAAGACTCAAGGAAAATAAATACATCGGCTCCTATGAGGTTGGAAGTGGTGTGCATGGTGGGGAATGGGTGGGCCGGTGGGGTGGGCAGGGCGCTTACACACGGCGGGCGGGCAAGGAGCAGACAAGACAGGAGGCACCTATGGGGGAGTGTGAGTCTTAAGTGTCCTCGTGCATGTCCGGGCTGTCGGTCCGTGCAACCTTGCGGGGGGGCGCCGAGCTCTCACCCTCGAGGTCCACTTGCTCCTGGTCTCTCTTCTTGGCAGCATTCTGGGGGGAAGGGGAAGGAGAGGAGACAATGAGTCTTCTCTTGAGTGATCTCCCAAAATCCTGCTGCAGGGGTCACAGAGCTGGGCCCGAAACAGTGCGGTAGACCCAGCGCCCCTGGATGGGCAGCCCCTCCCACCACCCGAACCTGCCCTGCTAAGCCACAAGCACCCTGGGGCTGAGGGCCTGTGATGGACACTGCAAGGAGTCACCACAGCTCACAACAAACCACACATGACCCAAGATGCTCAGAGGAACAATGCACCCTGCCAGGGGACAAAGGGCCCTCATGAGCCCCTGGAAAAGCCCATGCATTGCCAGAGAAGAGCAAAGTGGCCCTGGTTTTGGAAAACCTCCTTTCCACTGGTGGGAATCAAGGCCTGTGGGACTGGGGGAGGGGCCAGCATGGGCCAGGGGCTTGGGTTGTCTGAGCAGTCGCTTCATCATGGGGTCCCCCTCCAACACTGCCCAGAACAAGCTGCTGTCGTTATGTTCGATGTTAGGTGAAAAAATAAACTTGACTGCATTGTAAAGCAACACATAAAAATTTCTGATAAAGTAAAACGTGTTAAAAAGGCAGCCTCTTGGGAGAAGGGTGGGGGAGATGACTTTTCACGGCACCTACACCCTCCTGTATTGCCTGGATTTTAATCATGCACACGTTTCACCACTGAACGGATTCCAGGTAATCACGCACTAGAGCCCATCTGCCACCAGGGCCATGATGGCCGCAGGCTACGGGAGCCAGGCCTCAGAGGTCCAAGTCCCTGCTCATCCCTGAGTACCAGGGCCCTGTGGCCTCTGCACAGCCATTCCCTCCTTTGGAACGCTCTTTCATATCTTAGATTGCCTGGTGAACTCCTATTCAGCCCTCAACACCCCACTCGAACACCCGGTCTCCCAGCCACCCAGAGCCCACATGATGGGCACCACTGTGTTCCCCGAGTCCCAGCACCTGAGCCCCCTGTGCCTTACCTTTTTATCCCATTGCTGATGTAGGTAGCGCAAAAGAATGTTTGTTTTTTCTGTCACGATGACTGAGGAGGAAGGAGGAAAGACAGACAAAGTTGTAGGAAGAGGCTGCAAGAAGCCAGCTGCAGGTGGCCCAGCCTCCAATCTGGCCAGCACTGCCCCTCCCAGGACAGCGCTCACCCCTCCTTGGCCTCCAGGCCATCTCTGCCTTGGGTGGCCTTTCTGGGACTCAAATCAGCACCGCAACCCAGATTTCAGAAAGCCCAGTGTTTTCCCTCCTGAGCCCACAGGCACTGCCAGGGGCCTGAGCCAACAGCTCTGGGGACCCTGCTTCCCAGAAAAGCTGAGTCCACTGCTGCATGCGGGTGTTCACCCCGGGGCAGGGGATGAGACCCGACACATAGGCTCATGAGTGTGTCTTCCCAGGCCAACAAGAAGCACAGATCTACAAAGCTGTACCCCAGAAGCCATCCAGCAGGGTCTATGTGGATTCTTTTTCATGGTTAAAATAAAACGCCATGGCCGCAATAAATAACCTCTTCCTCTGCAGGCTCCAGGCCTTTCCCTGCAGGCCCCTCCACCTGGAAAACCTTTTCCAGTGCTGCCCACCTGAGGCTGGGCTAGATTCCCACCCCACAATACTCATCTTGGGATCTGTGGCATGAAGCTGGCAGGAAACATCTGCCTTGATGTGAAGTGACAGGGAGAGGACCAGTGAATGACAGACGAGGGCCAACTGAGGCCCCCGCAGTACTGGATATGGATGCTATCATGTGGAGATGAGAAGGGTTGTTTAGAAAGCCAGGCTTCCGCTGTTTCCAAGAGCTGGGAGCTGACTAGCATCCCACAGGTTACCCCCGACACCACCCTCCAGCTCTT